GGCGCTCGACATGGCGGCGGCGCGATCGGTGGCGCGGCGGCGGCGGTGAAGGCGGCGGCAGCTGCGGCGGCGGTGCGGGTATTAGGGTTTAGAAGCGGAAGCGATCGTAACCTAGTGTGATACCATGTAAGACAATAAGTTTTGGGAACCAGCACAACCCTCTAGGGGTGGCTTATCTCATTATATATAATGGTTCTGTTACAATACGTACATAGGTACAGAAGCTATACATAGTCTAACAATCTATGATGTGGATTGTAGCAGTTGTTAGGATATCTTGATGTTTTGATAGTTATAGGAGAAGAGAAGAGCAGAGTAGTGGGTACAAATTGGGGCAAGCGCTCTGCTCCAGTAGTATTGCTTTATAATTTTCCTCGTGTTGATTCCTCTGAAGGTAAACTGTTAATTTCCTCTGAAAGTAAACTGGGGCAAGTGCTTCTATGTCTAGATTTGTTCAGGACAAGAAGTTGATCTGTTCAGTTAGCAGTAGGTTTTGTAAATTTCCTCATGCCGATTCCCAGCCAAATGTCAGGTAATTGTTGGTTTTTCCATTCTCGAGTTTGTTCTCTGCATTGCACTTTGCAGGGGTAAGACTAGGTTCTTATAAGGGAAACCCTCCCCAGATCCCACCTTGTGTGGGTGCTTCTATATCTTACAATTAGGCAGTGACTGAATTGTTAAGAAAATCGTACCTATTTGCAATACCTCCACCTAGCATGCATGATTTGGACAATTCAGTCACTAGCTGATGTGTTGTACACATTGAAAAAAATAGCACGCTATAGCATATAGAGAATTGTCTCGTTAAATGAATTAATGTACAATGTCTCGCTAATAGCACGCTATAGCACGCTAATAGCATATTTTCAAGGGCCACAATATTTTCTGTAGCGCGCTATTTTGTTCATTGGCTGTATAGAAACATTCAGTCATTAGAAGAGCAGAGCTGAGCAGAGTAACAATGTAGTTGCATGGAGACTAAACAAAGACTATTTGTATATCTATCCTTGACTTGCTTGCAGCAACCTAAAAAGTTGTCAAACATTTGGTTGTAGCAGGTGCTTGTAGCAAAGCAGACTGATTTTTTGTGAGAGTTTGGATTTGAACCTTGCCAAGTACAGTAGTTGCAGTGGAGGATGGACATAGCTCCTGCCTTACGCCATCGAGCGTGTGTCCTGTCCAAAGCCTACGGCCTGCCAAGATCCTTTTGAGTCCTACTCCCTCCGTCCCAAAAAACATGCCCTCATGGTCATTTCGCGAAAACCCTCTCAGCGTATTCCCGACAAACCACGCACTCCCTCTGCTCGTCTCCTTCCGCTCGTCTCCCGCCGGAGATCCCCTGCTCGTCTCACTGCGCCAGACCTCCCTGCTCGGGTCCCCGCACCGGAGCTTTCTTGCTCGGCTCCCCGCACAGCTCCTCGGACGTCTCCGGAGCTCCCCCTCCTTGTGTTTCCTCCTCCACCGTGTTGCTTCTCCAGGCGAGGAGAAGGCTCGTTTTTTCCCGATCTGCTCTCCGCCGGACGCACCCTTCCCCGATGGTGGCGAGCCGGATCTGGCTCTTCCCGTCGTCAACCTCGTCCACCTCACCGTCAAACTTATCCACAAAGTCAGTCCCTGCCAACCTCGTCGCCAACTTCGTCCACCTCGCTGCCAACCTCGTCCGATGGCAGAAGCTCTCCACTTTCCCCGAATGGCAACAACAACCATCCCCGCCTTCGCCGCACAGCAGCCACCACTCCCGCCTCCCGCGAAGACAGAGCATAGGTCAGAATCTATCTCCTCAAATTGTCAAATTTTACTCCAAAGTCAAATGCTCTGTCCTCAAATTTGAAGAACAAGCTCAAGTAGATGGTGTGCTAATGGACTAGGACAATGGGCGAACTTCTGCTTGCCGCCGCGGCGAGGGCGATTACGGCAGCGCGGCGAGGGCGATTACGGCAGCGCGGCGCGGCCAAGCGAGGTCGCCGTGGGGGCGCTCTTCACCTACGACTCCGTCATTGGTTTATGCATTTTACATGTTTTTTCTATATTTTTTTTTCAGATTTTGGGTTGCCGCCTTGTTTTCTCCATGTTTTGGAAAAATTACAAACTTTTTTTGCGTGAAATTAAATTTGTGCTTCCAAGAGAAGCACATACTATCAGTTTTTTGTAGAGAAACAGATTTGCTTTCATGAGAAGCACTCTCTGTCTCTCAAAAATTAAATTTCATGATTTTTTGCTTCCACTGAAAACAGATATTTGCATTTCGTGGAGGCACAAATTTGCTTCCACGAGAAGCACAACTATGCCACTCGGAAGAGAAAAAAAATCGCGATTTCGTTCGTGCTTCCACAAGAAGCATAGTTGCTTCCATGCAAAGGAAAAATAAATTCGTGACTTTTTTTTGCTTCCACAAGAAGCACAACTATGCCACTCGGAAGAGAAAAAAATCACGATTTCGTTCATGCTTCCACAAGAAGGATAGTTGTTTCCATGCAAAGGGAAAATAAATGCGTGATATTTTTTTTGCTTCCACGAGAAGCACATATTTGGTTTTTTTATGGAGGCTGTTGTTCTTCTCGGAAAGGGAAAAAATCATGAATTTTTTATTTGCATGATTTTTCCGTCAAGGCACATAATTGTTTCCACGAGAAGCACAACCGTGCCTCTTGTAAAGGGGAACAAAATAGAAGACCATTCTTCTGGGTCTGTTTTTTTCCTTTTTTTGTGAAAAAAGTTTGCCAAAATCTATTAACATGATATTTAGTTTCGAAGATATCGATGCAAGATATCTACTACCAGTGAAAACGGTTTAGTATTTGGACACACGGTGCGAGAGATAAAAACATTTTGAGTAAACAAACCTACGAAAAAAGAGGAAACTCCCTGGTTGCCGCAAGTGGCGCATATACAGTCGGCACCTGTAGTGTCTGAGAAGGTGGAATTGACCTTAACTAGTCATTTAGCTAATAGACGCTCGCTGCATCAAAATGCCATTGTTTCGCACAGGATAGCTCACGTATGATACCTTTTGGGTCGGCCCATTTTACGAGCAAAAGTACTACAAATCCCAATTTTGGAAACCTTTCAGGAAAGATTCTGTCCCGATTTCTGTTCTATATCTTCTACAAAAATTCAAAAGAAAATTTTCGTAGTTAAAATATAAATTTCAATTTCAGAAACTACTTGCATTTTAAAAAGTACTCAAAATTATTCTAAATTTGATTAAAAAAATTATTCAGTAAATATTGACATTTTCAAAATTGTTCAAAATTTTAAAAAATGTTCTCAGTTTAAAAAGTGATCGCAGTTTATATAAAAACCGACCAAAAGTGCTGAAAAAGAATCAGCCACTACAGTAGATCGCCTTGCCATAGTGCACGGCCAACAAGTTATTGAGAAAGAAGTTAAATCTCATGGCCAGTCCTGTTGAGCGCTGTGGAGCCAGTAGCTTCATCTCAAAAGCAATGATTGTTTCAGTCAGTCTTGACTCAATGACTCTGCAGCTGCACTCAATGACTCAATGACTCTGCAGCTGCTCTGCGCCTACTCTAGAGCCGTGGCGCACTTCACAAATGGAAGAACACTGAAAAGACCCATTCAATCGGGTCGTGTATGTTCAGGTTTATTTGGCAGCTGTTTGAGCAGCATTCGGTTGTAGTACTAGATGTTAGTTAGTGTTAAGCACACTATGGATGTTGTCGTCGTACTGTGCTTCTCACAGTTTGATTGACATAGAGGAGAGTTGCCAAACCCAGGTAGGTAGATCCAACAGGACTCGATCGAGAGCTTGCCTTTTCAGATATCATGGCCAGTCCAGTCGAGCCAGCAGCAGCATCAGTGTTCCTGAACTTGCTCCCAAAAGCAATGATTGTTTCAGCCAGAAGCAAGAGATGCTCTGTCCCTACTCCAGACAACTGCCAAGCACTTGCTGGCTTGCAGATTGTCCGAGCCGCCCTGGATTAGAGCTGGAGGTATAAATTTGATCAAATGCTCCTAAATTTGAATCTGTTCTAGTCATCAGGTTGAACTGTCCATGTTGCTTCCAACTTTCGAGTAATGCAGAGGAGCAACTCGGTTTGGCATATCCCCTTTTCTTCCACAAATACAAAGGAGGAGGAGGAGGAGGAGGGTGCAGTTTAGGCAGGCAATGAGTAGGAGAATTTTCAAGCACTTGTTGGCCTGCGGATATCAATTTGTTCTACACAGGTTGCTCTGTTCAGGTTCTTTCAGTAGGGTAGGGCCCTGATGTCACTGAGGATCAATACTGTAACTCATTCAGAAAGAAATCAATTAAGTTGATACACCTAGCTGTTAGCAATATCATAAGCAAAATACTACTACTACTTGTTTGCAGCTAGTGTTTCATCAGGCAGCTCGTCAGCGTCATTGCCTCTCTCTGCCGTTGGCCGTCACAATGCTTTACTGCTCACAGCCACTTCTTTGAAGCTCAGCTCAAAGTATAAACGGGCCGGTCGAATGAATCATGTACAGACAAACTTATTCCACACCAAAGGACGACAAAGCTGCACAAGTTCAGAATGATACTGCTCAACTTGTACCGAGTATGTGGACATTAATTACAAGTACATCATACCACACAAAAGATACAAGCTACAGCCAGTGCCAACCAAAGCGTAACACTCCGAGGATAACAACACACCACACGTCTTGGCAAAGGAGCAGCTGAGGGCCGATGATTGCAGAAATTGGCGATGCAAGTGAACAGGGTCGATCGGCCTACGACACATGGGAGAGCCGAACTGCATGATGAGAGCTCGAGAGATTCGCTCCACCTCAGTGACAGGCAGTGGACACGAGGTGTGATCGCTGGAACCCTGCTGTTCGAAATAAACAAACAAGGAAAGTTTTAAAATTAATGAAGGGAACTTTTAAACACATAAAACAATTGAAAGCTCAAAAGTTTACGAAATAGAAAGTACAAAACGTTATCTCTTTGAAAGAGAACAGGCGAGTACTTTACCTTTTTGTTTCTATATGGATGCAAATCTGGATGAAAATCAATTAAAACCTTTGAAGCGGATATGCTCAATCTTTGGCCAGCTATCACCATCAGGTGCTTGGCAGCTGTCCCTCAAGAGTTCAGAACCACACATTTCTATTCTGTTGAGGGAAGATGGCAAATCGGGTAAAAATGATATATTGTGGCATTTAATAATCTTGACTGTCCGCAGACATGAAAAGCACTTCAGATTTCCTGGCAAGGAACTGATTTCACAATCAAAAAATAACAGGCACTTGATAGATGAGCAATCTGCAGATTCTTCAAATGTAAAGGACTCATTGCATCCTTCAAGACCGAGAAATTTTTGAACTGTAAAACCTTCATCTGAGAGCATGTGGTTGAGCATTACAGAACTGCTAACATGAAGATTATTCTTGACTCGCAACTGTGAGATGAACTTCATATTGAGGTTCGGGACATGTACAAATTGTGCACTGGATAGTTGCAGTGAAGACAAGCCTTCAAGAAAGCACAGGTCCTGTAAATTTCGCAGTGACAATCTTTGGAGGGAGGTTAAATGACCAATCGACAATGATGCAGAGCTTCTGCACCACCTCATGGAAAGATCTTTCAGATGCGGCAAGTCACTACTGAAGAAATCAGCTGCAACCACACAGTGGCGTATGTCGAGCTTCTCAAGGGAAAATGGCATAAAATCTGATCCACATGCCAGGTCTAAAGAAGGGCAGCTGTATAATGAAATTTCAGAAAGACCGGTGGCAGCTCGCAACCCCCCTAATAATCTATCAGCATGAGTCGATGCACAAGTTCTAAAGCTTCGTCACCTGTTGGAGGACATCTTGTGACGGAAGTGTTGTTAAAGTCATAATCTCTTTTAATGACAAACTTCTTAGTGAAGTGAGACCATCAAGGCAAACTGCTAATGCCCCATCTGTAATGATGCTTGAAGAAAGATCAAGCCGAGAAAGCCCTGATGGTGGAACCAGAGGCATGCCGCTGTTCCTTGTACAAATTAGTCTTATCCTCTCCTCATGGCAACATATCCATGCCTTGATGGTAACCTCTTTTAGCATTGCTTCATCCCCATCTCTTTGTAGAGCACTTTGAATGGTTTGAAGATGAGAACTATCAGCATCCATCAATGTCATCAACCACTTGAGAGATGAGTGATCCGACAATAATACTTTCCTGATTTTGGATCCCGTATCCACCTCCCACATGGAAGAAAGCCGTGACTCCAAGTTGTGTATCATCATGGTGTTCTCCCTTTGGTCATGTTGTTCTAGCTCATCGTTAGAAATAAACATAACCAACATGCATTTCTCGATCTTCAACTCTTCAAGCCTGGTTGGAAGAGAAGGCAGTGTCTTCAGGTTTCGGACATTCTCGAGGCGATGTAAGGAGCAATTCCCGAGGAGAGCAGCATTGGATGGTAGTATTTCTAAGGCACTGCAATCAACAAGGGTAAGTGCCTCGATATTCTGGAAATAAGAATCCTCAAGTAACCAGCTTGGGTATTCTGCACATCTGTAACCTTCGATAGTAAGGCCCGTAATTTGAGGTGGTTGTATCAGACCTTCTAGAGTTTCCAAATGTGAACTATCATGTGAAGCCATGTCATCATTGTAACTCCATTCAAGGTGCAATCTCTGAAGATGACTTTTCTGATGTAGCTTTGCTTCAAAGGCTTGATCCTTCCCGTGACATTCTCAAGATTTTTGACACATAAACTTCCACCAAGGTTGTTCATATATTTCAATTGTCGCACCTCATAGCCCATCTGCTTTCGCACGCAAAATTGTTCGAGGTGTTGGAGCGAAGTTAAGTTGCCTATGTATGGGATTTGACCACACCCTTCAAGATATCTCAACTTACTTAAACTGAATAGTTTTTCAGGCAAAAGTTTAATGTTGACACACTGAAGTGATTGCAAGTGGTAGAGAGCACACAATGATTCAGGCAATTCGGAGATTGATGTTCTTTTGAGGTTCAAATACTGAAGGTGCTTCAGTTCACCAACAGACTCAGGTAGCTTGCTGCTGTTATGGAAGCTCAAATAGAGTACACGCAACTTCTTTAAATTCTGCAGCACCTGCTGGAAAATATCTCTTGCATCATCTAAAAGTGGTTCAATGCAAACAAAGCTACGTAAATTCTGTAGCCCGCAAATAGAGTGTTGATGTTGCTTCAGAGTCGTAACATAGACAGATAGATGTCGAACAGTGTGTGGTATTTTTGCCACCTTATCATCTTCTAACCTGAAGCAGACTTTTTCAGACAGTAATTCTGCCAAATCATGAACCAGATCATGCATAACATAGTGTGCAGATATGTCAGCTGTGGATTCGTAAGCTGGTTGAAAGAATGAAACTGAGAGCAGCTCATTAAAGCAATCCCTCCCAATATCTTCCATTCTCTTGTTCACATTGCAGGATTCAATTAGTCCCTCTGCTACCCACATATGAACCAACTCCTTAATGCGATACCAGTAGCCTTTTGGATATAAACTACAATATAGAAAACACCTTTGCAGACTCAGATCTAGCTTCTCATAACTCCACAGGAGTGCTCTACTGGGATCGCTTAAGTTGTCAATCTTTAGAGCATCTTCCCATGCAGCCTTATCCTTTTTCCTGCTCAGCCGTGAACCCACAGTTTTTGCTGCTAGAGGAGATCTTCCAAGTCTTTTAGCAAGCTTTTCTGCAATAGTTTCTAGCTGCTCACGCACCTTCTGGTCTCCAACTGCTGCACCAGAAAAGGCATGGTCCTTGAGGAGTTCTAAGATATCGGTGTCTTCCAGATTTTCAAATGAATAGTTTCATTACAGCAAAGAGGAGCTGGCAGTATATCTGACCGAGAAGTTACCAAAACTTTGCTTCCCATTCGTTGAGATACTAGAGGAGACAATAGTTTCTCCCACTCCATCTCATTGGTGTTTTCTTCAAACCAGACATCATCCAACACAAGAAGGTATCTGTTTGGATTTTGCAGTATGTCTGTTAATTTGCACTGTAGAGTATCAAGATTATCAATGCGTGGGCACTCTCCCTTTGTTGTTGATTCAATTATCAACCGCGTGTGGCGGTCAACATCAAGTCTGCGTGAGATGCATACCCACATCCTGACCTCAAAATGTTCTTTTACCCTCTTGTCATTGTAAACATGCTGCGCCAAGGTCGATTTTCCCATGCCTCCAAGTCCAACAATGGCTAGACCAGAATACCTACTTGTATCAGACTCAAGAGCAATTGGCTTGGTAAGAAGATCTATGATATCATCCCGATCCTTGTCACGACCAATCACTTTCTGAGGTACCATTGATGTGACAACTAGAACAACAGGTGTTGGTACTGCAGAGGCCTCAGCACTATTACCGGCAGGCAAGCAAAGCAATTCACGGAAGTCCTTGGCTTTCTCCAGGATGGCCTTCAGTTCTTTCAACTGGTGAAGCAGCCGTTTGTTCTTTGGGCGCAGATTGGACAGCCTGCTCGACGCAGTACGCACATGCTTCATAATAGTATTACTGGAAGATGCATGCTCCGGCATACATTCCTTCCCCTTCTCTGCTTCTCGCTTGAGGATGTTGTACTCATGCTCATCTCACTAGTAGAAAAGAGGGCAATGGTCCAGGCCGGTCCAGCCCATTAGTCCCGGTTCAATCCAGAACCGGGACCAATGGGAGCATTTGACCCGGTTCGTGAGCCCTGGGGGCCGGCCGGGCCACATGGGCCATTGGTCCCGGTTCGTCTGGACCTTTTGGTCCCGGTTGGTGGAACGAACCGGGACCAATGGGCCGTACTCCTGGCCCACCACAATTGGTCCCGGTTGGTGGCTTGAACCGGGACCGAAGGCAAACCTTTAGTCCCGGTTCATGCAACTAACCGGGACCAATGGTGGTGCCTATATATACCCCCCTCGCGCAAGAGCAGAGCACACTGCTCTGTTTTTTCTGGCCGAGGGGGAGAGGGCTTGGTGGTGCTCTAGCTCACCTCCTATGCACACAAGGTGTTCGATGAAATGCCCGAGCCACACTACTTAGGGTTTCTCCTCTCCAAGCTCGACCGCCAAGCTCCATTTTCCTCCATATTTGTCTAGGTTTAGCGGTCCGTCATGCCCCGTCCCCGTCTTCAACGTCGTCGATCACCCGCACCGATCTCATCGCCGGCACCACCGTGGTGAGCCTCTTGTTCTTATCTTCTTTCTGAAAGGAAAAATATTCTTATTTGTATGTTTAGATAGATATATACTTGTATAATTTTCTTACTTTTATTATTGCATCTTATATAGTGCGATGGTTTTGGTATCCGCCCCCGTCGGCCCTCGTCCTGTCTATGATTCGAATGTGGTATATATTATCTTTTCATAACTATTGGTTCATTTATTGTTTATGACAATTATGCCGACCAACGTGACATAGATTTTATTCATCTAGGAGGTTGTTGAACCGGAAATTCCAACCGACCCTATTGTTGAGAGGTTAAATTTAGTTGAAGAAGAAAACAATTTGTTAAAGGAAAAAATTAGAAAAATTGAGGAGGAGAAGATGATATTGGAGTTGCATGTTGCGGATGTCGTCGATGATCACAAGATCAAGATGGATGCAATGCGCTTGAAGATTAGAAAGATTAGAAAATATGGCATTCATACCGAGGCTTGGTATCATTATGCCGTTGGATCAGTTGTTACATTAGTTGCGATTATGATCGCATTTGTTTTCGCATTGAAATGTTTTACATAGTTTCAGTGTATGGTTTAATTAATTTAGATGCTCTGCAGAGCTTTATGTTGTTAGATGAGAACTATGTATGTACTTTGGTTTTAATGTGATGATGAACTTCTATTAATTTGGTCACTTAATTATCTATTCATGATGTTCTGTAATGATTTTTGACACACTTAATTATATATAATGCACACAGATGAACCGGCAATGGATGTACGGTTCAAGACACACCTCCGAGTACATTAAGGGCGTGCATAATTTTCTCGAAGTGGCTGAGGCAAACAAGCAGAATGGTTTTATGTGTTGTCCATGCCCTATATGTGGGAATACGAAGTCTTACTCTGACCGAAAAATCCTCCACACCCACCTGCTTTACAAGGGTTTCATGCCACACTATAATGTTTGGACGAGGCACGAATAAATAGGGGATATGATGGAAGACGGCGAAGAAGAAGAGTACGATGACAACTATGTGCCCCCTGAATACGGTGATGCTCCAGAAGATCAAGAGGAACCAGACAATGTGCATGATGATGCTGCAACGGGCGAAGCTGCTGAAGATCAAGAGGAACCAGACGATGTGCCGGATGATGATGATCTCCGCCGGGTCATTGTCGATGCAAGGACGCAATGCGAAAGTCAAAAGGAGAAGCTGAAGTTCGATCGCATGCTAGAGGACCACAAAAAGGGGTTGTACCCCAATTGCGAAGATGGCAACACAAAGCTCGGTACCGTACTGGAATTGCTACAGTGGAAGGCAGAGAATGATGTGTCTGACAAAGGATTTGAGAAGCTACTTAAAATATTGAAGAAGAAGCTTCCAAAGGATAACGAATTGTCCGACAGTACATACGCAGCAAAGAAAGTCATATACCCTCTAGGATTGGAGGTGCAGAAGATACATGCATGCCCTAATGACTACATCCTCTACCGCGGTGCGTACAAGGATCTGAATGCATGCCCGGTATGCGGTGCATTACGGTATAAGATCAGACGAGATGACCCTGGTGATGTTTAACAGCGAGCCCCCCAGGAAGAGGGTTCCTGCGAAGGTGATGTGGTATGCTCCTATAATACCACGGTTGAAACGTCTGTTCAGAAACGGAGAGCATGCCAAGTTGATGCGATGGCACAGTGAGGACCGTAAGAAAGACGGGAAGTTGAGAGCACCCGCTGACGGGTCGCAGTGGAGAAAAATCGAGAGAAAGTACTGTGATGAGTTTGCAAGTGAGCCAAGGAACGTATGGTTTGCTTTAAGCGCGAATGGCATTAATCCTTTCGGGGAGCAGAGCAGCAATCACAGCACCTGGCCCGTGACTCTATGTATGTATAACCTTCCTCCTTGGATGTGTATGAAGCGGAAGTTCATTATGATGCCAGTTCTCATCCAAGGCCCTAAGCAACCCGGCAATGACATTGATGTGTACCTAAGGCCATTAGTTGAAGAACTTTTATAGCTGTGGAATGGAAACGGTGTACGTACGTGGGATGAGCACAAACAGGAGGAATTTAACCTAAAGGCGTTGCTGTTCGTGACCATCAACGATTGGCCCGCTCTCAGTAACCTTTCAGGATAGACAAACAAGGGATATCACGCATGCACGCACTGTTTACTTGACACCGATAGTATATACCTGGCAAGCTGCAGGAAGAATGTGTACCTGGGCCATCGTCGATTTCTTCCGACCAACCATCAATGTCGAAAGAAAGGCAACCATTTCAAAGGCGAGGCAGATCACCGGAAGAAGCCCGCCATGCGTACCGGTGATCATGTACTTGCTATGGTTAATGATTTACACGTAATCTTTGGAAAGGGTCCCGGCGGACTAGCTGTTCCGAGTGACGCTGAGGGACACGCACCCATGTGGAAGAAGAAATCTATATTTTGGGACCTACCCTACTGGAAAGACCTAGAGGTCCGCTCTTCGATCGACGTGATGCACGTGACGAAGAACCTTTGCGCGAACCTGCTAGGCTTCTTGGGCGTGTATGGGAAGACAAAAGATACAGCTGAGGCACGGGAGGACCTGCAACGTTTGCACGAAAAAGACGGCATGCCTCCAAAGCAGTATGAAGGTCCTGCCAGCTATGCTCTTACCAAAGAAGAGAAGGAAATCTTCTTTGAATGACTGCTTAGTATGAAGGTCCCGACTGGCTTCTCGTCGAATATAAAAGGAATAATAAATATGGCAGAGAAAAAGTTTCAGAACCTAAAGTCTCATGACTGCCACGTGATTATGACGCAACTGCTTCCGGTTGCATTGAGGGGGCTTCTACCGGAAAACGTCCGATTAGCCATTGTGAAGCTATGTGCATTCCTCAATGCAATATCTCAGAAGGTGATCGATCCAGAAATCATACCAAGGCTAAGGAGTGATGTGGTGCAATGTCTTGTCAGTTTCGAGCCGGTGTTCCCACCATCCTTCTTCAATATCATGACGCACGTTCTAGTTCATCTAGTTGACGAGATTGTCATTCTGGGCCCCGTATTTCTACACAATATGTACCCCTTTGAGAGGTTCATGGGAGTCCTAAAGAAATATGTCCGTAACCGCGCTAGGCCAGAAGGAAGCATCTCCATGGGCCATCAAACAGAGGATGTCATCGGGTTTTGTGTTGACTTCATTCTTGGCCTTAAGAAGATAGGTCTCCCTAAATCACGGTATGAGGGGAGACTGACTGGAAAAGGCACGCTTGGAAAGGACTCAATAATATGCAGGAACGGATATTCTTGGTCTCAAGCCCACTACACAGTTCTACAGAACTCTACCTTGGTGACCCCGTATGTCGATGAACACAAGAACAGTCTGCGCTTCAAACACCCGGAGCAGTGCGACGACTGGATTACTGTGAACATATCAGGACTTTCAGCAATTGATTGGAAGCACGTATCAGAGGTGACAACACTGTTTGTGATGAGCTGTACTTGTTATCCAGGGGACCATCTTTGACTGTATTGATTTGGAAAGGATACGAGATAAATGGGAATACATTTTACACGATTGACCAAGATCAAAAGAGCACCAACCAAAACAGCGGTGTCCGCTTTGATGCAACAACCGAGAGGGGAAAGGACACATATTATGGTTACATAGTGGACATATGGGAACTTGACTACGAACATGATTTTAAGGTCCCTTTGTTTAAGTGCAAATGGGTCAATCTGTTAGGAGGCGGGGTACAGGTAGACCCACAGTACGGAATGACAACAGTGGATCTGAAAAATCTTGGGTACACTGACGAACCGTTCGTCCTAGCCAATGATGTGGCACAGGTTATCTATGTGAAGGACATGTCCAGTAGACCGAGAAAGAGAAAAAATAAGGAAGCAAATACATCATACGATGAGCCAAAGCGCCACATAGTTCTTTCAGGAAAAAGGGACATCGTGGGAGTGGAGGACAAGACAGACATGTTTGACTGTATTGATTATGAAAAGTTTCATGAAATTCCTCCCTTTAAAGTCAAGGCTGACCCCAGCATCCTGATAAACGATGAAGATTATCCATGGTTACGGCGCAATAAGCAAATGACACAAGCGAAGAAAAAGTGAAGACTTTCTCCCGCAACTATTATGATGATACCATGCCAACTTTGTAACTGACGAGTATGATACCATTGTTCGTTTTGTACATGAACATGCTATGTGTGGGTCAATTTATGATACCATGCCAACTTTCAAATTTTTCAGAGTTTATTTAAAATGCTTTAATGTCTTATGGTTCGGCCCTCGTAATAATTAAAAATAGCAACAATAAGTATTTTGTTGTAAGTAGAAACAAAATAAAATAAATAAAGTAAGAAAGAAAACAAAAAAAAAAGTGTTTTCAAATTTGAAAAATAATGACACTAACAGAAAGTTTATAATTTTCCTAA